ATATTGGAGATTTTAGATGCAGACTGAGATATTCCAATGTTATTTTCTTGCCAATGTCGAAGTGATATCCAATATAAATATAGATCAGGACATCACTAGATTAGATTCGCCCACTATCTGGAAGAAAGAAGCTGTCAACGATCACAACTAGGGCATTGTGATGAATCATTGTGGCATTTAGTGAAATAACAATAAAAGTGACAGTAAAAAGTCTCAATAAACCTTATTAAATAAAAAGTTAAAAGATAAAAAGTTACTTATTTTCATTTAATCAGTAATAACTGTGTTGATTTCATTCAACTTCTTTTTAAAATTCATTATCTTATTTATTACTAGACATTTGGTGTTATATCTGCAGCATTAAAAAAAAAAAACGATTTCATAAATGGGTAGAGAGCCAGAAACTGGATTTTTGTCCATATATAGAGGCTGTATCCTAAACTTGTATTATATTTGGTTGATCAAAAAGATTCATGACAAAACCAAAACCTTTCAATTCATTGAGAAAATCAGTTGATATACTCTGGAGTAAACAGATGTGCGACCTATGCTGAACACTGAAATTGCTGGAGCATTAACGAGATTTTCTTTGCAGAAAAGTTCTGCAACAGCCTTAACACTATTCTGAAAACCATCCTGTTCCACCACAGCCACAAATCACTTTTTTGTTTTTTCCATATTTTATGTTCAGTGTAAACCTTCCTTGCGCTACCTAAATAGTTTTATTCAAAACAAGGACTGAACTAAACAGTTTTTCGGTCCGGATGTTAAAGGAAATTCTAGACCTGGTATTGCTGAAAATGGGCACAACCCCTAGGGGAGGATGTAATCGGTCTACTTCTATCAGCATTTGTCTTGGATTTTATGACTACATTCATTCTGAACCTTGCCTGTGTGTCTCTAGGATGGAATCTGTCCAGTTTAACACTATTTACTGACTTTTTTTGTCTTTCGTCTTTGACCTTACAGTATACTGATCTCAAGTTGCCCTTGGGATAAACATGTATACAGTCATACATATTATACTTGCTTGTAGAGATGAGATCATGATAACATCTCAAACAATCAACAGTAACAATGATAACATAAAAGCAAACAGAGCTCTGTTGTTGCAAAATTATGAGCTGGCAGGTGATAAAATGTGGATGAGTGCATCCCTAGGTACAACACACAAAACCCAGAACCAACTGCATAGGTTAATGGAGCAGGTAAAGGAAGGGTTAAGTACCCTTTTTCCTGCTCTGTTTCTTTCAAGACACTCTTAAACACACAAAATGCATAAGCAGCCAAGAAATCACACCCTTCTGGTTTAGCATATTTCTGAGGGTTATTTCTGCCTTCAGGACAAAGGGTTTGAGCTCGAACTGGAGGATGACAGATCGAGTGTGCCTCTGAGCGTGTGTGTGTGAGTGTGTGTGTTTGGTCAGGATAATTAGACCTTGTGCTTTGCTCCCTGACAGTTCTTTAACCACAGGTTTGAGGCATAATGAAACTACACAGTCACGGACACTAGACTGACACACCGCACACAAATGGGCACGTAGACCATATTGAGCACATTCACAGATGTCTCAAAACAAACACACACAAATGATCGTGCATGCCCTGTGTAAATGTTTAACCGACACACAGATATGGAGAGATTCTGAAAGAAGATAAGGACAAACTATTTTAAAAGCACAAAATGATGAAAAAACAGTCCCTGGATTAAATATTTCACTGTTCAAATCAAATAAATCACTAATATTGTACTTAGTTTACAGTTTAGTGTTCTACTTATTTCTCTGGGCTAAAGAAATATGTGAAGTAAAACTATGTTTATGAAATAATATATTCACAGATATCGTAAGTCACAATCCTTCACAGCAGTATGCAGCCTTTGACTTGCAGTCAATGTACCTGAACTGAGTTCCTCTGTGTTTACAAAGTAGAAGTAGAAGCATAGAGGCAGCGAACACTTTAAAGACCAAGTGAAACAAAAGCGAAAATAAACCTCAGTATTTTATGTGGTATAGATTTACCAATCCTCTCTTTTTTACCTTACTTGTTTTATTGTGAGAATTATTTGGTTTTCACTTTTTAGATACCAATTGTGATTATCTGTTCAAAACACTATAGTTTGTCAACTGTATTGCATTCCTTTAGACCTTATGTTCTATAACCAAAGAAACAAAGGTAGATGAAGTGCAGCCATCCATCCCTGGGTTAACTAAAAATTTCACTCAAAGACATTTTCTAAAATCTGATGAAACTAAACAAGACAAACTCATAAGTGGTTTACTTCTCTTAGAATTTAAGGCTAAATATCAACAAGGAATTTTCACCTCTAATTTGCTTAAATCCAATTTACATTTGAGCTACACTCGGCATTCAAGATAAAATATGTTTTACGTAGGTTACAACCGGTCAGATTGTACACAGCCATGGAAAGGAAGTGTAAAACAACTACAGATGCACTCGGCACCATTATTTTATACACTTCCATTTTTTAGCCCATTTTGATTTTGTTACAAAAACTATAACATAAGAAAACTGCATTTTAAACATGTATGGATTTCACCTAATAATCTCTCCTTAGTGTCCCATTCTAACAATTAACAAGATTGGTATAACTTGTTTTCCATAGAATCTGAGATTCACTTTTTCGTCACCAGAGGTTAAAAGCTGAAACAGACTGACTTTATACTATCAGTTTAGCCTTCCTGTTACTTGCTAAGGTCTCACTCTCTCTCACACTCACAGTCTTGATTTTTTTTTTAAAGAAAATACAAATTTCCATCAAATGACTGTGTCTGCATACTTTCTCACTTCACCATGAAAAAAGCAAAAGCTATTCAACATTAACTTTTGGACCAACATTTTCTATGGAGCCTACTACCTCCATACCAATGTGGCGAGCTTGCTTTATGATACTTTTGCTCATGGGATTGCTGACCAGTCATAATGGTTTTTTGACTTGGGACAGACTACCAAGAGTATGATCTTCTTTGTGACTGAGTTCAAACTAGAAATTGTGACACACCTTTGGTCAAGTGATACTTGAGAAATCTATAAAGATTTTACTGGGGTTAAGAGGACCATGATTTATGTTGTCATTGGTTAACAGCGTCAGCTGATTGTGCAATTAGGTAGTCTTTGTGGCAAGCTTTTTTTATTTTTATTTTTTTTTAATAAAGCTACTGTATTTGACAGGTCTGATTATTGCAAATGCAGGTAACAGATACTGATTATTGTTATTGTTACCTTCTAAAATAAAGCCCATAGATACTAAAATTAAGGTATTGCTTTTTTTTTAAGGTTCATTTATTTTAAAATGCATTCAAGATTCTTGGTGGGCTTTGAAGCTCAAATCCAGCGGATCTCGGACCTAAATTAGCAAAAAAAAAAAAGGAACCCCTTGAGAGTTGGAAAGGAATCAACAAATATCATCAAATTTTTTTCATATATTTTTTCTACTGTGACACATTTCTTTTTTTCTTTGATGGCATTCCACAGGGGTAAATGAGACTAAGAAAATTATCCAAAAGATTGACTCCTCTTGCAGCTTATTGGCAAGTCATGCATTTAACAAAACGAATAAAAGTACATTTCAGATGAATCAGACTGCTGAGACGCAAACTTTAAAGCTGTCTAGCAGTTAAGCTTTTGACACTAGGGGAGCTATTTAAGCTCTCTGCAGGGATATAAAACTCCTGTCATGCATTTTCTTGACTTTCATTTTCCAGCTCACTTCTCTGATGAGATTTAAGCAAATTTAAGACTCTTCTCTAACCCTTCATCTCTGGATTTTCCAGTTTGCCACAGTAGTCTGCCCTCTGGCAGTAACAAATCTATGATGATGTAACATGCTGAAGTGTTGCCAAGGAATCAGAAGTCAAGAGGAAATTAGGTATTATTGCGTCTATTCAAATTTACTACAGGGTCTATTCAGTATTCATATACTCCTTGTGATAATCGTGTCTTCAGGGAAGTAATTGTCTTGCCAATGCTGAAATTTAATGTCACAATCAGAAACGGGTGCTATAAGACTCATCAATCTTTGGATTAACTAATCTAATTATAGGGGAAAATATGTATTAGTGTGTACATTACTGACACAAGATGATAAGTAATGCAAGACAGCAGAGGTAAACTGGAACTAAACTCAAGTTGCTATGAAGATTAAGCTTTTAACAAACACTTCCCTTCATATGCATCCCTGCAAGCCAAGAAGTAAGCAGCTTAAAAGGCTGAGTAAGTTATTTAGGATTTAAAAATGTGAGAAGCAAAATAATTTATCACAGTTAGAGCTTAGATAGGCATATATATGTTTCACTTTTTGTTTATTTCAAATTGCTGGAAACCAGAAAAAAACCTTAAGAGAAAACAAATCAATGCATCACTTTTACCTTTGTCTTACTTCTGAATATCATGTGCTTATGACCTCATGAGTATGATCAACTTGGCAGAGAATATTTCCATATCTTTAACTCCGCTTCATACTGTATTCTGAGCTCCACTCCTGTCTTATCCCTCTTTGCATCATTTTTTTTTGCACTTTCTTACACTTTTTCTTGTTCTTTTTGCTCCTCTGCTCTAAATCATTCAGCTCTATAGTTTGACGTTGTTTACTTTTTCATCTGCTCCTTTTTAAGTTTTTTTATGGTGGTTGGCAACTAACAATTACAGCCACCTGCTCTCTCATTGTTTTCTCATTATGCAAACAACAATCCAACAGGGTGAAAAACATTTTCTGGAAAAACTTTGCATGCAACCAGAGTGAGCTACTGGAGTAAAGTCAGAGTACACATCATAGGACATGAGTAGGCTATCTAAATATCAAATACATAAGCTATATTCACATGAACTCAATTTATCAACTATAAGACCTTTAAAACTCCCATAGTTTCTTTTTATAATTCAGGATGTTTGATTAAGATCACATACACTTATTGTTTTGTACATCTGCATTAATACTGTGCAAATCTTTATATTCACAGCAAATGATATAAGATTCTTACCAGCAGGTGGTTGTTATATTCATCTCCGATGGTCCGGAGCTGACGACCAAAGGTTTCTGACTGCATATCCCGTGCTGCGATTCCCTCCCACTCGCTATAGGGTATGGCAGAATGTCCTAGAAAGGAAAACAAAAAACACATATTCAGAAAGGCGCAAAGCATGTTCAGGACTTGGTGAGTCAGAACAGTCAATGCAGTATTGTCTGCAGTGATTAGGTGTTAGATGAGAGTTCCCCTGTCAAATTTAAGATTTTTTTATTTATGATTCATTTAAGTAAAACATGAAAAAAAAAATTATCACACAGGATCTGTGGTTGGGGGTTTAGATTTGAAAACCCAGTCAACCTGAGCATTCGCATATTTTAAATATGACTCCTTACATTAAAGGAAACCACAAAGGAACTAAGCTCAGTGGATGTTTGTACAAAACGTTGTATGATGTTCAGGGATTTCTTCTTTTGACTTATGTCAGCTCTGAGCCACCTCTTGAAATAGGTATTCTTTAACCACAAAGTACCAAGACCCTCAGATTTATTTATCAATATAATGTTTGCATAAAATGGTTAGAAGGACACAAGGACATGTTATTTCTTCCAGTTTTTGTTGGGGTTTTTTCTCATGAGGTTGGGGGAGGCAAAAGATTTAGATGTCCAGAAAAAAAAAAAACTGACTGCAATGCATTACAACAAACATGAACTATTAAGAAAAATAAAGCAATAGAAAAAATGGGAAAACACATTTTTGTTCATATTTATAGTAAGCTTTTAAATATATAATTTCTGTTTTGCTGTATTGTGACTATAAACTTGAATATACTGAATGTTTTGGGACACAATCTCTTTAATTATTTTGGAAATCAACAAGAACTATTTACCATATTCCTTAAACTGATACATAATATTTTGTAGCTGTCATCAAACAAAATGCACACCGCTGCACTGTACTTTGCAGGAGATGGATAATTGTAGAGGATAACAATTATTTATTTAAAATATAATATACAGAACTTGTGTCTTACGGCCAGGATCATATAAAAACACCACAGCTGACCGACTGAGTGTATGTTTATGTCTCTGTGGGCGTCTGTGTGTGTGTTTGCATGTGTTTTTGTGGTTTATCTGCTATATTTTCAGTCTGAACTACAGTATGACTATGAAAGACTCTGACCTCTTACCGATCTCCGCTTATGACTCATTCGCGCCGTTATGAAACCCAGACTTAATATTTCTAACATCCTTCGATATTGAAGTGACTGATTCAGCAATCAATCCATCAGGCTGCTGACTACGCCGTGCTCGGCTGACATGATTTAACCTGGGAGATTTAGGGACTATTTGAGAAATTAGCCAGGACTGAAATTTTGTCACTCATCATTAAAAAACAAAACAAAATGTATGGTCAGAATGTATACAGGTATGCAACTAAAATCAATATTTTTAAGCTTGATAAAATATATGAATAACAGAGAGCAAAACATTTTTATTTTTAATGCAGCATTTATAGCAAGAGAATGATAAGAAATCAGAAACATATAAATCAAATGAAAAGAATAAATAATCTATTTTACACACTGAACTACACAGAGCTTCTAGAAGTTTCAGATTCACAGGTATGTAGTCATACCTGTAATTATGTAGACATTTCTTTGAATAAGAAGATTGATCTTTACTCTGATTAAGCTGCATGGAAATTAATTTACAGCATTTGACAAAAACTCTTACAATATTTAGCCCTTAGATTAGTCTGTCATTGTTAGGGTCAGTCATAGTCCTGACCAATCCTCCCTCTGATTTTTCAAATGTCTGGGCATACGCACAAGTCCCCTGAAGTTCAATGACAAACAATGTGAGCAACATCAGATTTGCACGCTGAGCACACACACCAATAATGAACCTGTTATAAACCTAGAATAAGAAATTACAGCAGCAATTTTAATGAGTTTACTTTTAACATCAATGCCCACTTAAAATGTCAAAAATAAAAATGAGATGATGTCATGAGATGCATAGCATGCTAAATGAGTCCTACTTTGACCAGGGTGAGAGTCCTGCTCTGGAAGAAATAAGACATTACACCATTGGGACATTTTGTTTACATCAAAACATTTTAATCTTCACAATGAAATCTTTCCTGAAGGCTGCAATACAGTATAAATTCCTGTGACTCTTAGTGATTTTCAATTACAATGTTTTTTTTTTCATTTCTACTAATATAAATTATATAATAACATAAGCATTTCATGATTAATATTCCTAAATAAGAAATATTAACAAATGTCACTAGAATACAAACAAATCTGACTTAAAAGTTTTATATTTTTCATGTTTGTCCTTCTTACATCACCAATGGTTGTCCAAACATGCCACTTCAAGACAAATTCTAGATTCTGTTTTGATTTATTAAGATCAGCAGTGGATCTTGGAAATGTAGCACAAAGATCCACAAGCTGTGAGATCTCCTTCAGCTCCTCACATCTAAGTGCTGCAGCGGCCATATCTGACAATGTGCCGATCGACCCTGTTGATGCTTTTGCTTCATCATGTACTTGAATTTGGCGATAGAAAAAGTCACACAATGCATTGCTATAAGAGCCAAAATGAGAAAGCGAAAATAAATGTTCACTATTTGTCTATATTATGAAATTAAATTCAGGGGGAAAAAAATATTGTTTCTCATATTTTATTTGTTGGTTTTTAAGTTGAAAAACAGATTCGAAATGATGCAGAATTTCATGTTATCTAATTGATTTACAGTTTATGTTGAATTTTATTTTATGCACTACATAGCAATGCATATTGCGCTAGCGCACAGCTTAGACTACGTTCAAATTGCAATCATTAAAGCTCAATCCTGTTTTAAAAACATACTGCAGGACACATAGGAGGTTTTTATGGCACTAGTGACCTTTATTTGACAGTAGAAAGACAGGAAGGGGGGAGGGTGTTTGGAAGTTGAACCCAGGACAGCTGCATTAAAGTATGACTGCCTCTGTGCATGGTGCACATGTTTTGCACTGAGCCCTTTGGGACCAGAGCTAAGAGACTATTTAACTACACAAAACATATCATCTATCCCTGTATCCTTGCAAACAGATTCTTTGTTTAATTTATTAAAGCTAGTTGAAACAACATCCGGTGTTTTTGAATGCCTTACGATTGCAACCAGCTGATCTCAGGTCAGTGGTAGCGAAACAGGAAATAAACAAAGCGTTTCCAGCAGGATGCATATAACTCTACCAGGCAATATTAAATGACCAGCAGTGCTAAGGAATTAAGCTGGAAATAGAACATAGGACACACTGATTAATTAAAACTGCAGGACAAATTACATTAGGATAAAATGCAAGCTTTTTGTTACGTGCTAATCTTAATTTTTATATTTCTTTTAATTCTACAGTTTTAAACATTGTGTTAATAATTTTGTTCATGGTTGATGAACCATGAAGCAAGTCCCAACCCCTTGGTTGGGACTTGCTTGAGTGGATTTGGAATCAGTGGTTGTTTTTGCATGAATCCCACCATGAGAGAGCTGTGTCTTCTGCACCTGCCACGCCACCCACAAGTCTTAACCTTGATGCAAACCAATACTAAACCATCCCCACTCCCACTATAACCACACTCGCGAAAAAAACAAACAAACAAAAAAGAAAGAAAAAAATCTAAACAAATCTCTAAACTTTATCTACTGATCTATCAGTTTTCCATCACGCTTATCCCTGCTGGGGTTGTGAGGGGCGCTGTTACCTATCTCTGGCAGAGGAGATACGACAAGAAGCAGGGTACACCCTGGACTGGTCATCAGTCTATTGCAGGGCAAAACACAGAGACACATACAACCATTCACGCACACACTCAAAAACAATCAACCTAACTGTCATGTTTTTGGACTGTGAGAGGAAGCTGGTGTACCCAGAGAGAACTCACCAATGTACAGGGAGAACATGCAACCCCATGCAGAAAGACCCTGGGCCGGGATCTGAACCTGTAACCTTCTTGCTGCAAGGTAGCAGCGCTACCCATAGCAGCCCTCTAAACTTTATCCTATAACTTAACTATAGATTAAGAACTAAGGAACAGAGAATTAGACAACTAACCTGTTTGATTCTAGCTTTCTGCTTTACAGAAACGATTTAATAGACGACCAATATCAGCACAGTACTTTAAATGTTCAAAATAACATGTTTTTGGACTCTTCTTTAGGTTAATTAATAACAAAAGATTCTTCCTTAGGTGTGAGTGCATCAGTTTTCTGTGCCCATGTATTGAGCTGTGATGAACTACAGTCCTGTCTGGGGTGAACCCTGGCTTTCACTCAGCGGAGACAGGCACTAGCCAAGACAGACAATGGCTAAAGGATTATATTAAAATTTGGAATGACCCAATTGCAGTTTTCTGGCTGATCACAGATAATCAATCTTGAAAAAGGCAGATATGACAATTACGATTTTTAACTGATACCAATTTATGTAATAACTCATAATGCCAGTTATAAGATCACAAACCATCTTATCTTATTAAAAAACAGTGAACAATACCCGTGAAATATTAAAAAGATTGCTTTAACAGCCAATGAATAAGTGCTTTTAATATAAAGCATTGACAGAGAGTGATGTTCAGACCTCTGCAGAGGTTGGTTGTTGGATAAGATTGGTAGTATAGTATGGGCTGATCAACAATCACCCATAATTAGGTTATTCTAATTTAAATACTTTTCATAACACTAAACTATCCATTAAAATAACTGCTACAGTCAATGCCAGAATTATGTTCCTTTTGACTAGACATGAAAGTAAGCAATAGTATAATTTGGCAAAGAACAAACAGATTAACAAAGTAGTATTGGAGGGCTAAAGGGATTCCCCAGTCAGGTTGCTGAGGGCAGAGAACCAAGTTGCCAATGGAATGCACATAGAAATATAACTGTTGAAAAATGTGCACAGATATTTGTGATTCTTATTACAAAAGAACCCACTGGCCCAAAAAAAAATGTTTTGCAGCTATGTGTCAAATAGAATTTATTTAAATGCAGGTCTCAATTTAAGAGTGACCAAGACCAATACATCAATTAGACAACTTGGTTATTATTTTAGGCCGATATATCAACTCAAAGCTAAATC